AACAGCTATTTTTTCGGATGCTGAAAAGTATCTTCCCCACAGGCCTGAGCTCCGTATCTCACACSTGCTCCCACACTCGAGGGCCCGAAGAAGGTAGCGGGGCTCGGACAATCATTGTGGGCCATTGCGGGCCACAGCGCCCTCTCAGCGCCGGCAGGGCCGGGCCCGAAAAAGCTGCGGCGACCTGCCGGGTGTGTGACGGGCGGACTCGCACAGTCGCCCCCCGTCCCGGTCCCCGTCCCGGTCCCGGCCCCTCATCCCTATGTCGGTCCCGGTCGCTCTCCCGTCGCTCACCTCCATGGCTCCCGGGCTGCTCCCGGCGCGGGCACCCCTGAGGCGAGTTCCGGCCGTTGTCCTCGCGCCGGCCCAACGGCCGCCCCGCCCCGCGCGCCCCCGGCCAATCAGCGGCCGCGCGGCCGCCTCGCGCCTCCCAGCGCAACATGAGCGAGTCTCTTCAGCACGCGGTAACAGCCGCCGGGCGATCAAAGCGCTGCGCCGCGATTGGCCCCGCCCGCCGGAGCGCGGGCCAATGGGAGAACAGCTCTCTCGCGCCTCCCGCCAATGAGCGGCTGCGGAGGCGCCGCTCGCCCGGAGACGGCAGTGCCGAGACAGTGCGGACACCGGCACCGCCCTCACACACCCCGGACAGCGGCCAGCCCTGACCCTCACACCGTCCAGACAGCGGCACCGCCCTGACCCTCACACCGTCCAGACAGCGGCACCGCCCTGACCCTCCAGACAGCGGCCCCGCTCTGACCCTCACACCGTCCAGACAGCGGCCAGCCCTGACCCTCACACCGTCCAGACAGCGGCACCGCCCTGACCCTCACACCGTCCAGACAGCGGCCCCGCCCTGACCCTCCAGACAGCGGCCTCGCTCTGACCCTCACACCGTCCAGACAGCTGCCAGCCCTGACCCTCACACCGTCCGGACAGCGGCCCCGCCCTGACCCTCACACCCCTGAGCGGCCCCTCCGGACACCGGCCCCGCCCTGACCCTCCGGACACCGGCCCCGCCCTCACACACCCCGGACAGCGGCCTCGCCCTGACCCTGACCCTCAAACCCCTGGCACCCTTCCGGACACCAGCCCCACCCTGACCCTCCGGACACCGGCCCCGCTCCACCCTGACCCTCACACCCCTGAGGGGCTCCTCCGGACACCAGCCCCGCCCTGACGCTCACACCCCCTGACCCTGATAGCCCCRGACCTTGTCACCCCGACCCTGTCACCCCTGGACCCTGACATCTGCTTCGATCCTGTACCCCTCCCTCCCCTGACACACCCCAGACCTTGTCACCCCTCSAGACCCTGGCAATCCCCTGACCCTGAAACACCCCAGCCCCGTCACTCCCGAACCCTGACACCCCCCTGATCCTGGCACCCCTTCCACCCCTGACACACCCCAGGCCTTGTCATCCCCCCAGGCCCTGGCATCCCCTGACCCTGACACACCCCGCCCTAGCACCCCCTGACCCTGCCACCCCCAGGCTGTGTCACCCCTCCAGACTCTGTCACCCCACACACCTCCCATCACTGGCACGGGCCGTGTCACCCCTCCACACCCTTCCACCTCCMCACCCTGCCACCCTGCCCTGACCCTGTTGCCCCCGGCCCCATCTTGAGGCTGGCCTCAGCTGCTGCACCCCTCCCGGCCTTGATAACGAATCCATTCAGCTGCAGGATGAGCTCTGGAGGAGCCTGAGGCATCTCCAAACCTTTGCCCAACGAAGGACCCAGGGATCTGTGGCCCAGCCAGAGTACTGGACACTTGGGRCACAGCATGAGCTGATGACCCCAGACTCTTCTGCACACAGACTGTAAGGGTATAGAAGCCCGGAGTTTCCTCTGGGCTCCCTCTCCAGCTTGAACTGTTATTTTGCTATTTAATTATTGCACCAAGGTTAGTTTATCTCAAGGATTGAGATGGCTGAGACTCTGCTGTGAGGAGCCTGGGCTGGCTGTGAGTGTGGGGGCTGTAGCTGCAAAGGGGCTTCAGTCCCAGCTCAGGCGGTGACAGTGACTGCCAGAATGGCTCCTGCATGGTCAGACAGCCCTTCCACAGCAGCCCTGACCAGGTCCCGGCTCTCCCAAAGTCTCCTTAGTCCTGCTCATCTCCCACAGGACCAAGAGGAGCCCTCTGTCACCCGTCACTGGTGACAGAGCTGTCCCCATGTGCCTGTGGCAGGGTCTGTGCCCTGCTGGGGAATTCCAGACCCCAAGGGCAACTTGGCTGCAAGAAAAGCCATGGGGAACCTCGTGGCAGGGGGAGCTGGGACAAGCTGTGTCACAATCTGTGTTTGTTTACACTTTCCATTGTTGCTGCTGGTCTAGATACTCCCCCAGTACATAAATATCACTGTTCCCAATGAAAAGGACTGAGGAAAACCCAAAAGCCCCAAAGCCAAACCCTACTTTGGGGGTTTTTGCTTCTCAAGATATTTTGGTTTGTATTCCTCAAGCCRTTTTTAAGGAATCTAGAGACAGCATTTTTGCTGCCACCCCTGTCTGGGCTGCTTAGGGCAGTAAGTGCCCACAGAGGCAGACATTATGTTATGAATTCGGGTCTTTTGTGCTGTGATTCATCTCTCACTTCCTCAGTGTGCTACCAGCCCACAGGATCATGGGGAGGCTGGCTGGGTGATCCTGGGGAGCCAGGTCTGCCCAGGCTCTTCCTAAACTCACCCAGGGACTCCAGAGACAGATGTTTTGTCTGCTGCAAGCCGGAGGATTCACTCCAGGAGATGAGGAAAAGTCTTGGTTGCAGAGTCCCAGCCCCCAGCTCCGTCCTTTGCTCCCTGCTCTGGAGAAGGGCTGTGGGGAAGGGATTTGGGGCTGGGCTTTGGAACRGGCTCAGGAGCAGGCAGGGGTGGTCTGAGGTCTCTCTTAGTCCCAGATCTGCAGAGGAGCTGGTGTGACGTTTGTGCATGGGTTGCGGAGTTTTGCTTTGTTTTTTTCCTTCTTTTGAAACAATGAAAAGTGGGGAAGCACAGCCACTGCCTCACTGTCCCCCTCTGCTATTTCCCTACAAACTCATGTGTTCATTTCCTGCATTTCTTGCTGCAAAAGACTCTTTCAAGGCCACAGAGCAGAGATTTGGGAAGCAGAGAGAATTCTCCACAAAACTCGTCATCCAGCCGAGTTGGGGTGCAGCAGCAGCCTCTGCCAGGGATGATTCTCCTCCTGGCTGGATACCTGCGCAGGAAAACGCTGGCAGCACACACAGGTGGTCAGTGTCGGGGTCTGGCCGCTGTCCAGGGGTTGTTTGCAGTATTTAACAACCACTGCCCAGAGCTGTTTTCCTGGCAGGGTGATTTCTGTCAAGGGACAGTGAAACTGCTCAGCTGCAGGAGGGGGAACAGGGGCTCACTTCAGGGAACAGAATCCTTGCACTGCTCGGATCAGCCCATGGGCAGATTTGGGCATCCACTCAATTTCTTCCTCCCCGTGAGGTACATCCCCAGCCTGAGGCACCGACCACTTTGGCCACCATGGTAAAGTCTCAGTGCCAGTTTTCCTTGGACCCGGCATTCTCCTCTGGGTCCCAGCTGACTSTGGTACCTGTTCCAGGCAGTAACCAGCAGTTACAATCAGCATTAATATTTTATTACRCTGTCAAAGCCCACACAGGAAGCTGCCGGGACGGTTGCTAATGCGTTAAAGCTCCCTGGGTTGATTCCCAGGATATTGGGGTTGGCTCTGCAGACACCACTGAGCTTTGGGGTTGGAGCATTGGCTGCTGCCTTRCTCAGAGCACAAACCACAGAGCGCAGCTGGGATTTCATCTCWRACTGAACATCGCACAGGGGGACRCACTCTGTGAACAAGSCATTGCCACCTCTCAGCATCRTWTCTCCAACGTGATCTGCTGCTCCARAGCAGAGCACTGTTTCAAGTGAAGCCCACGTGGATCCACATCCTGAGGTCTGGCTGGAAGCTCTCGGCGCTCAGACAGGACCCGGCTGTGCAGGAGCAGAGCTGCAGTGAGCAGACACCGCGCTGTGAGCGATGGCCTGGGGATGGGCTGGAGGAACCTCGAGCCTGCCCCCATCCAGTGTGACACCTGCGAGGGGCTCGGTGGCAGCTCTGAGCTCCCATCACCGGCTCTCAGGCTCACACACACATGGAATTCTTATCACAAATACAGAAACAGCCGTCAGTGTCAGCCAGATGCTGCCGAATGGAGAGTCCCATCGGGAAAACAGTATAGCCATTGGATGTCATCAAAGGAGACCACGGTGCCTGGTGWTAGAGCAGCTGCTGTGCAGCCTCTTTGAAGCAGGAACAGAATTAAAGCCAGATTAAAAATTAAATCAGAATTAAATTTTTAAAAAATAYGTAAAAATTTAAAACAATTATTAAATTTATATTATTAGTTTGTATTACATAAAAATTACATCACCATATATTAATAGTGCATTAGAACATACGCCATATATACAATGTTAATATTATCATTAGGATATTAATATGACTACACATCGCAATTATTATTAAAATTATTAATATTTAATCAAACCCACATTAAAATGGACTTTAAAGAATTAAAGCAGGGGTTGCCTGCTCGCCTCTCACACCGCGGGACCGGACCGGACCGGACCGGACCGGACCGGGACCTAGATCGGGACCGGGACAGGGAGCGGGAACAGCCAGGCCCCGCCGTGCCCCCTCCAGGTTGCCATGCCGTTTTTCCCGGCCGGTCACACCCCGGGTCCCATCCCGACCCCGCTCACGGCACCGGCAGAACCCCGGGAACACCGCGGCACCGCCGGCCCCGCCCCTCCGCCGCACCGACCAATCCCCGCAGCGCTCCTGTTGACTGACAGCAGAACGCCCCGCCCCCACCGCCACGCAGGTGGGCGGGCGGCTCAGTGACGCTTCCATCAATGCCTTGAGCAGCAGGCGGAGTGACCAATAGGAAGCCGCTATCGCCCAGTGGGCGTGGCCCCATCGGCCCCCGAGGCCCCGCCCCGGCGCGCCGCCGCGCCTGCGCTGCACCGCCCCCTGGTGGCCGCGGGGAGGGCCCGTCGGTCGGCGCTGCGGCAACATGGCGGGGCGGGTAAGTGGGGGGGACACGGACCCGGACCGGCCGCTATCGCCCATCCCCTGCCCCCTCCTCCGCTCCTGCTCCTCCCTGCGCGCCCGCGGCTTGGGGAGCTTCTCGCAGCCCCGCTGTCAGGAGGCCTTGCAGCTCTGGGGGGYCCCGCGGGAGTGCTGTGAGGCTGTGGTGATCCCCTCACTCCCGGCGGGCAGGGGGCTCCTGAGGCTCCTGTGGGGACTCCTCCAGTAGTGTGGGGGGCTCGGGGGTGACCCCTCTCGCTGTGTTCCCCGGGAGTTTCCAGAGGCTGAGGTGGCCCCTTAGTGATGTGGCATATGGGACAGGACTGAGGTTCCTTCAGCAGCCGGGGCCAGGGTGACCCTTCTCCCTGTGGGGCGGGATTTTAGGGTCTCCCAGGGGTGCTGTGAAACCCGGGTGGCYCCCTGGCGTTGTGGGGTGTGGGACAGGACTGAGGGTTTCCTCAGGAGCATTGTGAGTTCAGGGTGACCCCTCTCCCTGCGRGTGTCAGGCAGGATTTAGGGTTCCCTAAGGGTGCCGTGAGGTTGCAGTGGYCCTRGGGGGTGCAGAGCTGTATTTTGGGRTGTTCTGAGGCTGTGGTGACCCCTYGGKGCTGTGGGATGAKYGTCTAGGGCTCCCTCAGGAGTTGGGGTGACCCATTTTGCTGTGGTGTGGGGCAGGCTTATGGTGTCCCCTGAGGGTGCAGTGAATCCCGTGGGTATCTCGTTGCTGCTGTCAGTATTTAGGATTCCCTAAGGGTGCTGTGAGGTTGAGGTGGTCCTGTGGGATACAGGGAAGGATTTTGGGGTGTCCTGGGGCTGCTGTGAAACTCTGATGACCCCTCTCCGTGTGGGTCAGGGACCTTCAGGGTTGCTGTGAGAGGGGTTGATCCCTTGGTGCTCTGGGATGTGGGGCAGCATTGTGGGATCCCCTAAATGTGTCCTCCTTGAGGCTGGGGTGCCCCTGTCCCCATAGGATGTGCAGCCAGATTTTAGGGTCCCTGGAAGTTGCTGTAAGGCCCTGGTGACCTCTTGGTGCTGTGGGATACAGGAGATTTTCTCCTGTGGGAACCAGCCAGGCACTGTTTTGTAACGTGGGTCCTCATCTTGTTGTGTGGAAACATCTTAAGGGTTGTGCAGTGGTTTTATTCTGTGTTAATTTCAAAAATAAAAAAAAAMAAMAAWSCCTTGCTGGTGATAGATCACACCAGCAAGTGTCCAAGAAGGTTTTAAAATAGGAAGGAACAGCCTTGTCTGTGACATCCCATCTTGTGGTGCCTGCTCCTCCCCTCTTTTTCAGGTGTCCAGGTGCTGCAGGATGTGTTTGGACTGCTCTGCTCCTTGCCAGGAGCTCAGTCATGCTTTGCTGGGTATCAGCCTGGGAAAGGCACATTTCTCATTAGTGCTTGCCTCTGGCTCGAATCTTGTCTCTAGGCCAAGTGATTCAGTGATTGAAATCCCGAGGAATTGGTTTTCCAAGTGGTTTTTTTTGTGTTGTGCTGGGCTGGTGGATGGAGGGCAGCTGCTGCAATGCTGTGGTGCAGAGCAGGGGTGAGAAATCTGGCCTGGTGCCGTGCTGTGCATCGCAGGTGCTCCAGTGCCACCCCTGAAATGTGCTGAGTAATTGAGAAAAACCCCATGTTTTGTGGTCTGTCTCTCATTAAGAGCTTTTTCTCTGTCCCTRCTCCAGATTCCTGGTCTCACCTTCTTCCTTACACCTTTTTTCTTCATCTCACCCTTTGCACCAGCCTAGGGAAATYGGTGTGCCTTGCCTGGCTTTTTCAGCTTTCTGTTGCCCACAACAGGAGCCCAGTGCTCTGGTCAGTGGTCAAGTGAGATCATTTTACCCACACTGAACTGGTTCTGAGACTGTCTGAACCCAAACCAACCTGGCTGCAGCCATGCTGCCTTTCCCCCTGCTCCCCTAAGCCCTCCCAGCTGTGTCTCAAGGATCTTGTGCATGGTCTGAGTCCTGGGCTTGGTGTCTGGGGATGAGGGGAGGAGAAGGATCAACCTCAACTGCTGCTGTGAGCTTTTCTTCTACCAGAAGCCTGCTAAAACGTGCTTTTATTTGACCAGCTTGGAAGCCTGGTGGAGGAAAGGAGGATTTATGTGAGTTTAAAGGAAAGATTGGTKCTCAGTTGCCTCCTAATCTGGCAGTTGGATGGGTGATGCTCTCCTTGGGTCACCAGGGAGCTTCTTAGTATTCAGTGTTTTCATGATTTGCCTACGAATGCAGTTGTTGCAGAATTATGAGGTTATTTAACGCTGTGAAGAGAGTCCTTAAACTGAGTGTTCCAGCTCACTCTCTGGTCCTTCAAATGCTTCCCATGTGAGTTACCAAGGGAGCTGCCTGCTCCTTCCAGCTGGCAATGCTGGGGAGGATGAGGAGCAGGGAGAGCAGGAGCAGCATCCGCTTGGGCTGTGACACCGGAGCTGTGTCGGTGTAAATAGGGAACAGGCGGTGGGAGGATGGAGGTGTGTGATATCCCCAGGCACAACAGGTGAGGGATGCTGGAACACTGATGCTGCTCTGTTGGCAGCRTTTTTAACAGGTGCTTCGATCTGGAGGATGGGAAGAGGTGCTTCAGTGACTCCTCCTGCCCTGAAAATCTGTCCTGCAATGCCATTTAGAGCTTAATCTCTTTTATTGGGCTCACGTGATTGGATTTGTGCACGTACATTCTCACAGGGAGAAATGAATGAGAGACAAAATATTGAAACTTCCAGTAACATTTTGAATAATTCAGGTGAGTGGTAAGCCAAATCTGATTAACTGTGTGGTGCTGTTTCAGGTGTGTCACTCTGCTCCCCTAATTGCACTGGGTCTCTCCATGGCAAGGAAGAGATGGTGATTAGCRGTGATTGAAGTTTACAGGAAAAACAGTTTATGGTGATTAGAAATAATGGCTGTTTCTGTAATAATTTATTCTGTATCTCTGCATGGGGATCATTAGGCATGCAGGCAGAGCACTGAGGCATCTGCAGGAGAAGGAATAGGGGAAGCTGCTGTGTTTGTGGCTGGTTCTGGATCCCATGTACCAAGTGGACCCCTGCACGTTCACTGGCGGTGTCTGCAACTGATTGATTTGAACCACATCAGGAGTTGGTTCCCAAAGGGATCTCAAAAAGCCAGATGATTTCAGTGAGCGTTAGGTTGTGGATCTGGCATGAGCTGTGTTTCTGCCCGTGTCTGCACAGACTGGAGAGCTCCAGGGACTGGGGTGGGGCAGGGAGCAGGTCAGTGTGATGCTGGCTCCTCCTCATCTGTGTGCCAAATGCTCACGTGGATGTTGGTGAGGATCCCTCAGCAGATACTACTGTGGTTTTCTTTAAGGTATATTAGATTTGTGATAGTTGAACCTGGGTAAGAGTTCATAAGGATTAGGAATAGTGGCTGTTTTGTTTGATATCACTGGTATAACACATCCTTTTTTGTTCATCTGCTGGTTGGGGCTCCTTTGGGGCCGTGTTGCCTTTAGCCCAGCGAGAGCACACACTGCCCTGTTGGCTCCTCAGAAGAGATTCCCTCTGTGTTGGGTTGGAAGTGGATTTGGATTCCCTCTGGTTCTGGCTGCTGTCTGACCCTGCAGAGCGGTGCTGTCACACCTCTTGAGAGCCTGAGACTGATCACAAGGTCCTGCTGGCATCTGGTGACACCAACTGTCCAATCCAGAGGTGCAGCTGGAGTGGGAAGATGGTGAAGGATGGGCTGAGTCCCTCGGTGTTCTGAGGTGCTGAAGGCTTTGCTGGACTAAGCCTGCCCTCCTTGTGCTTCCTGCAGTCAGCATGGAATCCTGGAATGGGTTGGGAGGACCTTGAAGACCATCCAGCACCACCCCTGCCATGGCAGGGACACCTCCCACTGTCCCAGGGTGCTCCAAGCCCTGTCCAGCCTGGCCTTGGACACTGCCAGGGATCCAGGGGCAGCCACAGCTTCTCTGGGAATTCCATCCCAGCCCCTCCCCACCCTCCCTGGGAACAATTCCTTCTTAACATTTAATCTATATAACATACCTAAAACAGCACTAGACAATTTATAAAATCTGGCCTATCATTTGCTTGAATTGTTTAAAAATATTTAAAATCTAGACAGAGTGGTTTTGGGTTGGATAGGTTGATAGGGACTTTGAAATAATGGCAGCTGGGTTTTATGTTTATGGGTTAAAGCTGCAAGGTGTGATTTCTGATAACATATGGAACCAGCCTTCAGAGATGCAGGCGTTGTCAGGCAACTAAAGAAATGTTTGTGAATCAAACATTCAGTTCCTTCTTTCAGCCTGGTACTGATCCTGTCATTGTCACTTGGGTTTTTTTTTAGTATTTCTTAATGTGTAATATGAAGAAATGGGKTTTTAGCCATGTTTCAGGGAAATGGGAGACAACTCAGTCTGAATTTCTGTTTCTGAGATCACTTCTGCAGCCTTGTCTTGTGAAATCATCACAAATCAACTTGTGGCCTGCTTTCAGGATGTCTGCCTTGCTGAATTATTTAAAACAAAATCACATAGTTTGTTAAAAACTCTAAAATKATTTGGAATAAAATTCTGGCAATCATATGAATATTTGTGGGCATGGGATATCTGGCCCTGCCATCTTTGATTAATTTGTTGCKTGGCTCAGTGTTGCAGAAGCTTGTGCTTAAAAAGTCACTGCAAAAGGGACATGTCAGTGCTGCCTCTCCATCCTCTCCCRTTTTGGGGCTGCAGGCTTGTCACCTCTTTTATTATGTGGACCTGCCAGAATATTTAAACTTAGTTAAACATTTTCTTAGTCGGAAAAAAATCTTTTTAAAAAGCCAGACAATCTTTTTGAGGATCATTTCAAGTGTGAGTTTCTTAAGTATTACTTTTAAACTTCTTTTTCCCCATACCATGGCAAGATCTTCTCTTTTCCCATTCTGTGTCCTGTGCCTCAGAACACAGAGGTCACTCAGGAGAAGACTCTTGAGGCTCAGGATAAACCCTGACTGAATTTGAAGGCATGAAATCAGATCTGTTTGAG